AAGGAATCTAGCTATATGAATTGAAGGGAAGAAGGAAGGAAGGAAGGGATCTAGCTATATGAATCAAAGGAAAGAAAGAAGGAAGGAACAACGAAGAAGGAAGGAATCTAGCCATATGGGAAGAAGGAAGGAAGGAATTAACTATATAAAAAGAAGGAAGGAAGGAAGGAGTGAATTAGTAAGGAAGGAATGTAACTATATGAATTGAAGGGAAAAAGGAAGGATGGATGGAAGGGAAAGAAGGAAGGAAGGAAGGAAGGAAGGAGCGAATCAGGAAAGAAGGAATCCAGGTTTATGAATGGAAGGAAAGGAGGAAGGAGGGAAGAACCTAGCGATATAAATGGAAGGGAGAGAGGGAGGGAGGGAAGGAAGGAAGGAAAGATGGAAGGAAGGAATGTGGCTATATGAATACAAGGAAGGAAGGAAGAGAGAAATGGGCAGGAAGAAAAGGACATGACATGACATTTTATGCTTGAGAGAAGCCAGGGATGGCAGGTTCAAGGTAGCTCTGTTATGTACAATTGAGGCACATAGTGGGAAGAGCAAAGAGCACTAGGAAAGGGAAATGAAAAAAGCTTAATCAATTACGGGAAATTGGAAGTCCTATTCAGGTGAATTCAGACCTAATTGCCTGCAATTTTTTTAAAATGGATGATTCAGAGAAGAAAGAGTTATGATGGAGATGAAAAAACTTAATAAGGCCTGAAGGAGCCACTTTGGTGACGCACATGGTTATGAGACAAATGCATTCATTTTGTTAAGAGCTAGGAACAAGTCCGCTGATGATGAATTGGCGACCGTGGAGTGGACAGATTCATGCAGGATATTCCTTCATCAAGGGCGGAAGAGATGTTCGCCAATTTAGGTAGCTCTTTTAATCTTAAACCAAGTTGATGAGTTGACCTTGGATGATCTCAGTGAGTTGAAGGAAGGCTGGGCCTTGTTAGAACTTGGAAAGACTTTGCACAGGAAGCCAACCACTGTAACTTGGACTGAGATGTTGCAAGGTATCTCAGATCTCTTCCTACCAAAAAGCCCCACATAGTTGTCTTCATCAAGTCACCAGGGGTTGAACCCAGTTTGAAAAAACTTTATATTCAGTAGTGGGATTTAATTTTTTTTACTACCAGTTCTGTAAGCATGGCTAGGTGGGCGTGGCCTGGCTTGGTGGGTGTGGCAGGGGAAGGATACCGCAAAATCTCCATTCCCGCCCCACTCCTAGGGGAAGGTTACTGCAAAATCCCATTCCCTCCCCACCCAACTAACCTGCTTTCCAGGTCTATTCTCCCGTGCAGGGCAACAAAAGAAGACCCAGGTGATCAGCTGGGACTTGGGAGGCTGAGAATAGATGGGGGCAGGGCCAGTCAGAAGTGGTATTTGCCGGTTCTCCGAACTACTCAAAATTTCTTCTACTGGTTCTCCAGAACTTGTCAGAACCTGCAGAATACCACCTCTATTCATATTGTTTTTACTTTTTCCCATATACCTTTGCACAAAGAAACACAAAAGATACTTGATGCCTTTTTTGGAGGTAGCCATGTTGACTGTTGATTTGTTCCTCTTCTTATAAAAGAGCAATGGGAGGATGTACGATACAGAAATGGCTATATGAAGTTCTAGGATAAATTAAGATAGGATAGGATAGGATAAGTTTACTATCTATCTGAAGAGAACTGAAGAAGCTTCTTGGATGAGAAGTGAAATGTCTTCAAAGAAAAACCAGAAAGTCCAGTTGTCTTTAGAGCAAAAAAAAGCTCTTTTGGGACAACCATGACCTGGATGACTGAGAATCTCTATAGACATTTAGCTGTACACTAGTAACAAGTTTGCTAAATGAATCTGGCTTTCCCCTGGACGTTGCTCGTCAGAAGATAGATGAACCTCCAAGTGGCCTCAATGGCTCTCTAAAAAGAATGCAAAATGACCAGCTGTCTACAAGGAGTATAAATCCTTCTATTCCAGGGGTGTTAACCTCGTGTCATCACATGTCGTATCAGGACTTTTATCCCTTTGCTAAACCAGGTGTGGGTGGGGCCAGCATGTAATGCATCTGGCTCATGGCTCATGAGTTTGACATCCCTATTTTATTCCCACCATCCAGTCAGAGCTGAAGAAGCTTCTTGGGTGAGAAGTCTTCAAAGAATAGTAAGAAGGTCCGGTTGCCTTTTGACAAAGCATCTTTGGGACAATCATAACCTGGATGACTGAGAATCTCCATAGACATTTAGCTATACTCTATAGACGTTGAGCTTGTCAATCGGAAAGGTTGGCAGTTCGGCGGTTCAAATCCCTAACGTCGCATAATGGAGTGAGCTTCCATTACTTGCCTCATCTCTTGAAGTTCTTACCACTTTTGTAATTTCTACAAAGTAACTTCGGGAAGGGACATGGTGGCTCAGTGGCTAAGATGCTGAGCTTGTCGATCAGAAAGGTCAGCAGTTTGGTGGTTCAAATCCCTAGCGCCGTGTAACGGAGTGAGTTCCCGTTACTTGTCCCAGCTTCTGCCAACCTAGCAGTTCGAAAGCACGTGAAAATGCAAGTAGAAAAATAGGGATACCTTTGGTCCCTAACAGTGTTCCGTGCAGCTTTGGCATTTAGTCATACCGGCCACATGACCACGGCGACATCTTCAGACAGTGCTGGCTCTTCAGCTTTGTAACGGAGATAAGCACCGCCCCCTAGAGCCAGAAATGACTACCGTGTATGTGTGAAGGGAACCTTTATCTTTACCTTTATAGAGCTGAAGAAGCTTCTTGGATGAGAAGCAAAACATCTTCAAAGAAAAACCAGAAAGCCCAGTTGCCTCTTGCAAAAAACACCTTTGGGACAGCCATGACCTGGATGACTGAGAATCTCCGTAGACATCGAAATGCCCAGTGGAACTATTATCTTGGGGCTTGTCAAAATGGCAAGGCTGGATGGAAGGATTGTTTTCATGGACTTGTGATTCTATTATCTTTTCATTATTGCTGGCTGTTAAGCAAATGCCAGTCACTGATATTGACTCTTCAGACATCTGAATATAAATGAGCTGAGCCAGGGACATAATACGATCACAATTGCTGGAGTCCATTAGCTAGCAGAGTGTGAAATTCTGAATAAGCCCTACTTAATTATTACAGTGTTCAGCCACGTTGAAAGCAAAACAAAGCAAAGCAAAGCAGAAAAACGCTCACTTTCTCTAAAAAAGGGATTTTTTTAAATTGCAGCTAAACTGTTATTTTCCTTCTGTGGACTTTTTGGCTGTTGGGAGGTCTTTTGGTTCCCCACTAATGAGAAATTATTTGGGATGGTCACCAAATGATTTAATCTGCATCCTTGTGAGTCTGTCTCTGTAGAGTTGCCTCTTGCTTGTTAATCTCTGCCATTTAGTTTCTGTTTGAAGCAATGGGGTTGGGGAAAACACAAGCACTTCCTTTTAAATAGCTTGGTAAATGCACAATGTTCTCTCGAAATAAAGTTAATTACTGCAGGTATGTATTCTCGGCAATGTTCAATCATAGATCTTATTATGGCTGGGACAGAAATTATCTCTATCAGCTTGGACATATTGTTCCCTTGAAATTGTACTGCCGGATACACAATTAAGAGTTTAAGAGAGTAATATTTCTATATGTGAGCTATTCAAAAAAAACAGCAGATGTGTTTACCTTATTCCTGCGATAGATCTTACTTGCTGCCACAGAGTGTCACTGCAAACCAAAGTCTAGAAGTGGAAAAAAAAAGAAGTGTGCAACTCTGTGTGTCTTATAATAAGAATTGTTTGACTTTTTAAAGCTAGTATTTGGATTACTCGGGAAGTAAAAGGACTCTGTCCATTTTTCTCTGGACCAGAAAATAAACAAAATCAAGAACAGCTATTCCTTGACTAGAAAAAGAAGAGAAAGTTCTAAAGGTGTTGGCTAGAGTGGGAAATTGAAAATACACCCTGGAACAAGACAACGGTAACCCACCAAGCTCAGCCTAAAGGCATCACTGCTTTTTATAATTTAAAAGGCCCTGTTCTCCCCCTGGTTTGGTTTTCTCAGTGTCCAAGGAGAAAGAGGAACTTTGTTGAAAAAGGTTACAAGTTCAGAACATGTAGCAGAAGGAATGGCAAAAATTGGAGGGCAGAATTAAAAGAGGGTTCAGCCTAGAATCCCTAGGTCGTCACAAGTGACTCTTTTGAATCCTGTTGACTCTTATCTAATTCTAATTAGGTGTCCATTGAAAAGATTTCCTGTGCATAGGCAATACATCAGCTTCATTGAACCTTCCTGCCTGACAGAACACGTGTGCATTACTGCAGAGGAATCTGCCTTGAAATAATACAAAATGTCATGATATTTCGGAGGATCTTAGTCTTTTGACTATTAGAGAGGCTTGTAATTTATTTAGTATTCTTAAATGGATTTTTGTCTTAGATGATTCATGTACATAATGTAACAGCAGAAGTTCACAAGACAAGCAAAGAGATAGATAGATAGATAGATAGATAGATAGATAGATAGATGATAGATAGATAGATAGATAGATAGATAGATAGATAGATAGATAGAT